TCTCTCTCTCTCTCTCTCTCTCTCTCCCTCCCTCTCTCTCTCCCTCCCTCCCCTTCTCTCTCTTTCTCTCTCTCTCTCACTTAATTTTTCATTATCTAAACTATTAATCGTTTTACAATACTATTCAAGAAAATGACTAAACTGATTTAATCTTTTATTACAATAATATAGATAAACTCTTATTAGATTAGATCTTATTAAATTAGTATTGGACTAGCATTTAAACTAGCATCAGATACAAATTAGATAAACTCATTAGAAAAACTATTAGTTTTATTAAACAGTTTGAAACAGTTAAAAAAATTGCTGTTAAGAGAATTCTTGTTTAATACAATATTATATACAACAATTATTTAAATTGATAAGGTACACATTTTATGATTATGTATGTATAATTGTTCCGCTTTAGCTGTTGTATTTCGTCTCTGTAAGTACAACGTCCGCTTTTTTGATCCACCGTGTGCTGTTTTGCGAGATCATTGTGCATTTTCCTCCTCATTCGGAGTAAATGGTGGGAGAGACTCGTTGCAAGCTACGTTTGGGTGAAGATATTATCATTGGGCGAATACACTCACGCTTTGTCACGCAATGTTACGCTTATGAAGAGAAAAACGCTGGTCAGGTTAACACCGTTTTTCACCCGTTTTCATCCGCGAGTCAGAGTTACGTCAGATCGTCAGGACGCGACACGATCCTGTGTCACTGACCGAAAGAAGGAAATGTCGAAGCAACGTGTCATTTTCTTCCCGAGCGACACAACATGACATGACAAAGTTGACGAAGAAACCGGTATCCCGATATGCACGTCATAAGTCGAAATTTTAGCATTACTTTCAACCTGAACTTTCAAATATCTGTATATTTTGAAGGATCAGTATAGGTTTAATTCATATGGAAAATAAAGTCTTACTTAGCGCATTTGAATGACAAAATTGTAATTCCTAAAAAGGAACTCTTGACTAAGCTAGTGAGTTAAATAAAACTAAGAGTACCAAGAAATATTATAATCTCATCTACGAAAGCATCTAAATAGTAGACATGTATGTTTACAACTACAAATACATGCTATGGAATTCAAGATGAGATATTCCATATTGAATTGACGAAGTATTCATAACATCAAACATACATTCTACTATCAGTTTATTAGATTGTGAAATGCTTTTTATAATTATCTAATAAGTAGTTCTGAAATGCAGTTCAACATTTCCTGAGATTCTCGCGATATCAGAGTTGAAATGTGAGTGTGAATAATTACACGAAAAGGAAACACTTCCTTAAATAAATTTTTGTATTGAAGAACATAAATGTTTGACTTTCTTTCAAACATATGTGATTTTCCATATTCAGGATTATAAAAATTTTTTTGTCATAGGTCATTGAACATCTCTCGATATTGGTTATAAAAGCGTGCAAACGAAAACATACAGTTTTATTCCAAAAAGTTATCTTATTCTTCAATCTCTGAAAAAATAACTTAGAAAAAAACTTTCTGTCATTATAATTGTTCTCTCGAGTGGTGTAATTTGTTTTACACATTTTTTCGTATTATCAAAAACAAGTGAAAAATGTAAGATATTCGATTTAAGTAACCTCCCCTCTCTTCCTGTACATGGCTCTAAGAGAATTTTTTAAAACTGAAAGAAAAATATTTTAAGTACAATATTTTTAAAAAGTATATACAGGGTGTCTCACACTCTCCTCCGAGAATTTTGTGGGAACGTAGAATAGGTTGAGATGAACATAAAAGTCCTGTACCGTTTTGCGATATTCGCAATAATTATCGAGATATTAATTGTAGAAAATTTGTGAATGATCCTGCAGGATATGGTAAATGAGTTATAATAGCGACGACTGCCGTCGTGTACTTATTACTTATTTGACTTTAGGTCAAATTGAACAAAAAGTCCTCTACCATTTTGCAAATAATCACATAATTTTTAATTATTAATTAAAGAAGATGAGTGCATTATCACACAAAATCGTGCAATAATCTTCTTTAATTAATAATTAAAAATCTATGTGATTATTTGGAAAATGGTAAAGGACTTTTTGACCTAAAGTATAAGTACACGATGGCAGTCGTCGCTACTATAACTCATTTACCATATTCTGCATGATCAGTTACAAGCTTTTTACAATTAATATTTCGATAATTATTGCGAATATCGCAAAACAGTAGGACTTTTATGTTCACTTCAACCTGTTCTACGTCCCCACAAAATACCCGGAGGAGAGTGTGAGACTCCCTGTATATATAATTTCACCTTTTTATAATGCAAAACCCAATTACAATAAAAAATATCTCGACAAATGTTACTATACCATCTCTCCCACTCCCTCCCTCTCTAATTCAGAAACAATATAAATATAACAAGAAAAATTCAATTGAAACCGATATCAATGCGACTCTGCAAGTGCGTTGTGCCAATACGGAAAGGTTTACCTACGGTCCGACAACTCGCCTTTTTAGTATTCCAAGCCGCTTAAACTTGTCCGTCATAAGGATACAGGGAAAGGACGAGGTTAATCGTGATTAACGCCGATCGGGCAAACCCGCGAGACGGATCCGCTTCTCTCGTCTGCAGAGTCCCACGCTCCCGCGGCATCGGTAGTCCCAGTCGCCATGGTAACAACCATGCGAGGAGCCGTGTCGCGGCGCGCGCGAACGATGGCGCCCGAGGCTCGCCGAGCTCTGCCGAAAGCGGCCGAGCCGGCACGATCGTCGACGGGATAAAGCGCATGCAACGCGCCGACGGGCCTGCCTGGCGCGGAAGAGAGAGAGAGAGAGGAGGACACGGCGACGCTACGAGGGTGCGCGCAGGAGAATAGAGTCTGCGCCGTAGACACGTAAGTGGGGGACGAAGCCTCCCTGCTGCGCGGCAGAAGCAACGAACAGTTCTCGGTCCCCGACCGGCCCGTGAGCCACGAGAGAGACGGAGAGAAGCACGTCCGTGCAGCACTGAGCGCGAGCGAGACGGACAGAACGACTCTTGGTGAGTGAGAGGGAGACCTCAAGAGGGCGAAACGGAGAGAGAGAGAAGTAAGGAAAAGGGAGCAGCTTGTGGAACGCCGTGTCCTCGCGTGCTTGTGTCGCGTCTCGAGCGCAGCCATTACGACAGAGTCGCTCGGTGACGCTCGTAACGCTGAGTAACGCGACGTGTAGCGGCGCGAACGCGAGTACGATATAGTGCGCTATTCTCCAGTGGTGCGCGCGACAACGGTACGTACGCATCGTTGTCGGTCGGTGCGGACAGAGCGCGGCTTCCCGACGGAGGCAACGCACGTGTGTATACGGAAGAACGGGAGAAACGAGAGAGAAAGAGAGAGAGAGTTAACGTGTGTCGCTGACAATCGGCGACTATACAGTGACCCTGTTTGTTGTCGCCGCCGTCTCTTGCGCCTAGGGGTTGGCGTGAGAACTTTTCGCGGCAGTTACTCGACGTTTGTAGCTGCACAGTGAGAGCTGCCGAGGAGAGCACCCGGGATCCACGCGGCTCGACAGGATCCTTCAGTTAAGTTTCACGAACGCGCGCGCTACTAGACGAGAAGAGGTTTTTTGTCCCGTGAAGAGAGGAAGAAGACAACGCATCAGCCATGTTTGACGTATTCGGCTCCGTGAAGGGGCTGCTTAAGCTCGATTCGGTGTGCATCGACAACAATGTGTTCCGGCTGCACTACAAAGCCACCGTGATCACGCTGGTGGCCTTCTCTTTGCTGGTGACCTCGCGACAGTACATCGGCGACCCGATCGACTGCATCGTCGACGACATACCGCTGCACGTGATGGACACCTACTGTTGGATCTACTCGACCTTCACGATCCCCGACCGGACCGGCATCGTCGGCAGAGACATGGTACAGCCGGGAGTAGTCTCGCACGTCGAGGGCAAGGACGAGGTGAAGTACCATAAGTACTACCAGTGGGTCTGCTTCACTCTCTTTTTCCAAGCGATCCTCTTCTATATACCACGCTACCTGTGGAAGAACTGGGAAGGCGGTCGCATCAAGATGCTCGTGCTCGACCTCAACTGCCCGGTCATCAGCGAGGACTGCAAGAGCGACCGGCGCAAGCTGCTGGTGGATTACATCACGACGAACCTGCACATGCAGAACTTCTACGCGTACCGCTTCTTCCTCTGCGAAGTGCTCAATTTCATCAACGTGTTCGGCCAGATCTACTTCATGGACTTCTTCCTGGACGGTGAGTTCACTACCTACGGCTCCGACGTGGTGCGGTTCACGGAGATGGAGCCCGAGGACCGTATCGACCCCATGGCCAAGGTATTCCCGAAAGTCACCAAATGCACCTTCCACAAATACGGTCCATCCGGCACGGTACAGAAGTTCGACGGGCTCTGCGTGCTGCCACTCAACATCGTCAACGAGAAGATCTACGTTTTCCTCTGGTTCTGGTTCATCATCCTCGCGATCTTGAGCGCTCTGAGCCTGGCGTACCGCATGGCCGTGATCATCAGCCCGAAGTTGCGCTACGTGCTGTTGCGTGCGCGCTCGCGTCTCTCACCGCAGGATCAGATGAAGATCATCTCGGACAAGTGCCAGATCGGCGACTGGTTCGTTCTCTACCAGCTCGGCAAGAACATGGACCCGCTGGTCTACAAGCAGCTCATCGCCGACCTCGCGAGCAAGGTGCAGGGCAAGGAGAACGTGTAGCTCGTATCGAACGGGATCAAGAGACAGCAGCAGGATCTCGTGGAGCTCTCTGAAATTCTCCGAGAGGTTCCGAGTCCCTCGATCGAGACGAGACTACCGATCGAGTGAGAGAGAGGGAGAGAGAAAGAGAAAGAGAGAGAGATAGAGAGAGAGGTAGAATGAGAGAATGAAAGACAATGGTAAGATACCGCCGAGAAAGACAAAGAGACACGCCGATGAGCTATCAGGAAAATTACGTCCAGAGAGACGTATCGGCGTCTTTAATTAGACTGGATTGCACCGATGGTCCACATTTTGGCTGTTTTTAAATTAAATAATTCGTAACCTCTTTTTATATTCTAAGAGTCTAACTTTACGATACAGACAGGGAAAGAGAAATCGCGCTCAATCCTAGTTGATCCTCGAGTCGGCTTTGACGCCTCCTTCACGCATTGAACAGTATCCATAGTCGTTGCTCGAAACTTGCCTCAGGTGAGATACTCGAATTTCAATCTTGATCTGTATTAATGGTCGTTACTCGAAACTTGCTTCAGCTGAGAGATGGTCGAATTTCAATTTAGAGTTTGACGTGCGAGTTGTTTCCAACTGAATCGCGATTACGCATGTGTCGCGTATATTGTATGATTTAAAACAAAATATAAAAAAAAAAAACATTCAAATGAAGAAAACTCCAACCGAACTCTAAATTCAGATTTGATTATCGTTTCGTAGGATAAGTTCCAAGTAACGACTATTAAAAATCTTAAATAATCTTAAAGTTAGACGTGAGCTGAATTGTGCGACTACAATCACAATGTCACATCTGTGAAATCAGAATAATCAGAAAGAATTACTCAAACGAAACATTAAAATTTAACTAAGCTTAGACCGACATCCGCCGTGGGACAGGTTCCAAGCCACAACTACTAACACAGGCCATTAAGAACCGCCGGTGTCACAAAGATTAATCGATTGCGCATTAATTCGTCCGGCGATCGCTGATTCAATCGCTTGCGAGCCGCGAGCGAGCGAGCGAGCGAGCGAGCGAGCTGGAGAAAGAGAGAGAAAGAGACTCAGTCAAGTTTAGCGACTCGTCGTAACTCGAGGGAGGCGGATTGAGCGAGAATCCTTGCCTGTCTCTCTCTAGATTGTAGCTAGATAATTATGTAGATTTATTGTACGAGGTGGCTCTTCAAGTTGATCATATCGGCTCAGTCGACGTCGCGTCGGTGCAACCGGGCCTCTCGCGCAGGTTTAGGTAGTTAGGCCAAGATTCTTACGTGTCTCTCGCCGTCCCTCTCATACACGCTTCCATTTTGGCGTCGGGTCGAGACAAAGCGCGCCGTTCCGCTGCCCGTTCTCTCTGTCTCTCCTTGTCTTTCGCATCGGCTTCTCCTCGTCTTCGGATCCTTTCACCCGCGGTGAGTTTCCCATCGATTTTGCGATCGCCCGTTCCACTAGGTTTCTACGTTTGCTCGTCCCCGGGTCTCCTTCTTTTGTCGTTTTACTACCCGTGCGACCCCCCGGGGCCTTCCGAGTCGACCGAGATTCCACCGGACTCCATTGCCGACATTGTCTGTGTGTGTCGTTTGGTTCTCTTCTTATTTTACTTCTGTTTCTCCAAACGAATCTCACGTCTCACGGCATGGCAAGTGAGTGACGAAAGCAGCCTTAGATTTCGGAAGCATTTGTTTCAGCTCGCACGGCTAACGTATATCCCGCACTTTTCGCTATTTAACTTCATTATTTATTCGCACACAGCGTTGTTTCCTTTGCCATGGCCGTTATCGGACATTGAGGTTCTTGCTTCTTCGCAGCCATCTTGATTAATGACGTCAGAAGAGTGGCAGAATGCACACTCGACATTCTTGTAAAATACCTTGAAATAAGATACGTTCACAGAATGACACAATCGCTTAGGCAGATTGTACAGAATAGTCCGAACACTTTTCTTTTGCTTCAACAATCAATAGGTTAGCGTGAAATCAACATGATAATTTATTGCTCGTTAGAGGAAAAGGAGAGTGTTCAGACTACTTTGTAGATCTATTCGATCGATTTCAAATGTCATTTCATGAATATATCCTTTTATCTTACAAGAGTTTCGAACGTATATTTTTTCGCTCGCGATGTCATCGATGAAGAGTTCCGGGAGCAGCCAGGAACTTCAATGGATTAAAATTTATTTGAGCGAAATAATCGGCAAACCAACAGTCAAAATTAAGCAGTCGTCACAGATGCAATTATGAATAATTCGACCGATTGATGAAATTAATCGCTAATCAGTGTATAATCAATCGAATCAAAATCTTACGAATAATTAATTTCACCGGTCGATTAAATTACTCCCGATTACATATAAGACGATTGATTAATTGGACGATCAGTTTGCCGATTACTTGAGTTGGCTAAGATTCTAATCGATCAGTGCTCGATGCCGATCTCAATCTGAGAACATTAATAGGCTTTGTTCCTCCCCGAAACGAGCTTTATATTTCATTTATATAAATTTTCAAGTATTTTTTTCTGAGTGCGCGCGGCGAAGTATCGTTCAGCGTGCCGCGTGCTCGCTCGGCACGCAGCTGTTTTACAGGGTTCACGATTTTCTCACGCAGAAATAGCCTTCGAGTCTGCCTTGAGGGACCAGAGGAACCTTTGTTTCTTGTTCTTATCGTGACTTTGAGCCGAGATACGGAGCTCAACGGATTTTCTCTCGCGCACGCGCTCCCAACGACAACGAGTTCATTCCCTCTTCCCTCCCGACTCGCAATTACGCATGATCAAACAGGATTATTCGTCGTTTATTAGCCGCTTATAACGACCGATTAGGAATCGAGCCTGCAGCGATGTCGCTCTTTCTCTCTCTCCTAATCGCGCGCTTCCTGCGGGACTCCTCCGCAGGCGAAACAATAAAAAGAAGGAAAAAATATCCACTGTTCCGCGAAGCGCTTCGCTGAGCGGCATTCTCGCGAAGTCCCTCCGCAAGGAACGAACTTGTAATACATGCGTGTGTGTATTCGTTCGTTACGCACGGTGGAACGACCTGCCCCGTAGAAATACACGCGAGGAAGAGACGGAGATCGATAAAAAAAAAGGAGAAAACGCGGGGAGGAAGGAGGGAAGGAAACAAAAGGGCGATATATCTAAGGGCGATTTTATTTTTGTTCGTTGATAAGAACGCCAGGAATGTTGTGACGGTACTTTGGATACTTTTACCGTTCGGATCCGACGTATTGCTCAACGAAGAAGAGAGGAGTGGTAAACCTGTGAAAGAGGTTGAGGAGCCGCGAGGTCCACTCCCGGCATTTCCCGGGGCCTTCGTTCGTGGACTTCGACCGTGTGATAAAGCGGGGAACGGCGCTCGTGTTCAGTCTTTATGCTAGCTTTGCTGCCTTCATGTCTTTCTTTCATTTTTTGTTTTGTTTTGTTTTTTTTTTTTCTTTTTTATTTTCGTTCCCCATCGAGCTGAGTGCACGGACGCGTGTCGTCTCCCGAGCCCGACGCGGATTTTCGGATTCGCCATGTCATCGCGATTACCGTGTAATTACTGTGAAAGGTTCGGAACGGCAAGTAGGATCAAATGCCCAATTACTGGTATCCTCTTAGTCATTAAACCTACAGGGAAAAAAACCTGGTTTTTCGTACGACCGGCAATACAGTCGAGCTGTTTACCTGCATTCAATCATTCCGAAAAAGAGAACTTCACGATTAAAACTGTGAACAACCGTCATCGGTCGCGAGAGAAGCCAGGTTTTTCTCGAGTATCAATACAAACACCCAATAATTGGGTATTTTATCCTATTATATCTTCTGTTATCGCGGACTCGCGTCGGTTCTCAGCTTGCGCCATAATTCTTATTTTAGTACCCTCGCGAGATCGCCCCCTCTCTCTTTCTCTTTCTCTTGCATACGCAAGTCTCTGTCTATGCGCGTACGCGAGGAAGAGAATCGCACGCGCCTCCCCCTGCGAATTATCATCTAACTTATCCCTTTTTTCTTCCTTCATACTGTCGATTACATTTTGATTTATGTACGCTATGTATGTTAACTATGTATGCTAGCAAACATCCCGTAGAACTGTATATCGTAAGTTGCTATCATATGTTATAGACAAAACAAATTGTACATGCAATGAGCATACACAGAGAGAGAGAGAGAGAGAGAGAGAGAGAGAGAGAGAGAGAGAGAGAGAGTGTGTATGTGTGTGTGCATCTGTATGTGAGAGGAAGAGGTGAGGTAGACTGTGTGTGTACGTATATATGTGTGCGTGCGCGTACGTGCGTATGTGTATAGGATTATTAATTAACGTGTGAATCCGTCTTCTCTCGTATTTCATTCCAGGCATAAAAGACATGCGCACAATTTTGTACGTAAATAATTCCGGAACGTGGGAGGAGGAGACAAACTCTCCCACCTTCTTAACCTAACATTGCGTATTGTACGTTATCGAAGAAGAGATTCTACTGTATTTTTATATTGTAAAATTAATGTGTCAAAATGGGACCACACTGTAGTTTAAAATTAATGTATCAAGATGGGACGTGGCATAAATATATATTCTTTTCATCGTCTCAATTTCTTTTTTACAATAGAAGTTTATAATAAAAAAGAAATACATGCTGGTGTTTCGAGGGGCCAATCTGTGACGCTATCGCGCAATTTTCTAGTTATTTTCCCTTTTTTTTTCAATATACTAGAGACTGTGCGTACATACTACGAATTGGCGATCAGCGTTGCGTTGCTGCTTTGCGGACCGACGTGTTATGCGTATCCGCACGTGAAATTGTAATTATCATATCGAAGTTGCGTAATCTCGGCAGGCGATAAACCACTCGCTCACTGTTGCGTTTCACCTCGTTCATATCCAACGAACGTTTCTAAGTATCGTCCAGACATGCTGTCTCCCGTGACTTCGTGCGCGAAGTGATAGCCCAGGTTAGAAATGGCTGAAGGTCTCGACTAGAAATTGACCTCATACTGAAAAAAATCACTTGAAAATTGATTTGCAGAATATAAAGTTTACACTTTTGTGAAATTAAATCTATTCCTGTGAATAAAGTTGATCTTCCACGAGTAAATTTTCAAGTATCTTCTTCTCAGCGCATCCTGATCACGGGTTGATCCCAATCAGTCATCTGGTTTGTATAAGATGACTGTACCGGCTCCTAACGAGTCATGCAACGTGGCATGGCCATCAGGGCTTCATTAATAATAGGGATTATTAATAATTAGGACCTTATCAGTAGCTATAGGACTCTATGTCGCTTTGCACAAACCAGCTAACTGCTTGGTGCCAACTCGATCAGGACCATGGGGTGAATTTCTAAGGTGGAGTTGCTGTTGCGCCGGGCCGAGGAGCGAGTGAAAAAGTGCCGTCGCTCGTCGCGTGTTTTCTCTGTCTGCAAGCGGTGCCACGTGTGTCTTACATGCAGGCACGCACAACGTCCCGACATACCGCCGACGTGTTCACATCGAGTGTCGTGTTACTATCGCCGAGACAACGACGCCCCCGACTCGCCCGTGCTGTTCGATAGAAATCAAAACGTGGCGGCTTGTTGCGCGCTAACACCGCCTTGCCAAGTGATAAAATGTCCGCTTCACAAGATCCGCGGGAGTGGGAAGGAAAGAAAGAGAGAGACAAAAGAAAGGAGATCGACCGTACGTGTAATATCCGGGCTGATTTCACGTTAAAGAGGTGATCGTTGCGTTTACGTTCCGACTTTTATTGAGATAACGGTATTCGAGATAGATTGTACAATCGATGAATTGACTTTCTGCAGACCTTCAGTGTGTGCATGTGTGCGTGTTTGAGGGGAGGGAGAGTAATGCCAGTGCTCGAATTACGCGATACCGGAGACTCGCGGGTTTCTCCTCTGTTTTCAAAGGAAAGTAGTGCCAATCGGACTACGATCTTTCGATAACTCGTGTCTTCCTATCTTAATCCTACATATTAATCTGAACACGGAAGTGACATATCGCTAGATTTATACTTTGTAAAAACTTTCATATGAATATAAGTAAAAAGAGACACACACACACACACACACACACACACACACACATATATATATATATATATATATATATATAATACATAAAAAAAATAAATATATAAATAAAACAATGCAATAAATTTATTTAAAGAAAGCAGAGAAAGAAACTCATTTAAACTATAATACAGGGCTCACGTTGAAATAGATTTCTCAGCAAAGAGAGTTTCTCGAACTAGTGTTTTAAAGTAGAAGTACCAATATCTGGATACTAATAACACTGGTATCTAACTCTAAATCTAATTTTTCTCATGTTCTTTGGTTTTTACATACGAATATTGAAACATTGAACATAGAGTATATGTGAGACAGAGTTGCCGAAATCGTATCGCCGTCTCCTAAATCGTACTTTATCGATTTCTTTATTATTATTGAATATGAATGACATTTAAAAATGAGAAGTAAGTAAACAATGAGAAGTATAAACAAAAGATTTCGGATCATATTTTATGCATGTTACAGACATTACAAAAATAAAGCACATATAACTGATAAAGCAACCCTCTATATATATATATATATATATATATATATATATATACACAGTTAGGTACTAATGTTACTAGTGCCCAGGCATACTTTTGTCTCACAAGGGAACATAGGCAACCCGAAAATTCAGAAAATTCTGAGACATTGTGTGCAAGTAGAGTAGTACATCCATAACATAAAACTATTTTTTGTTTCTGCTAAATTTCGATTTAAGGGGGTGAAATCCTCTCGAGAAAACACATTTTTATTTTTAGCGAATATTTCCTAAAATACAAGGCATATGAAAAAATAGTTTATATAAAAGTGATAGAATATTTTGTACTCTTTGCAATGGTGTATTCAAATTTTGCAAAAATGAAAAATTTATGAACCCCCTTTCGCCACTCATTGGTCTCGAGGGGTGGTTTCATTCCCTTAAGTCGAAATTTAGCAAAAACAAAAAATAGTTTTATATTATAGATGTACTACTCTTGCACACAATTCAGAATTTTCTGAATTTTCGGGTTGCCTATGTTCCCTTGTCAGTAACTCGCGGGAAATGGCCCATCTGACTGACGACTGTGAGGCGCGTTTTCAGTTTAGCGATTTCTCGGTACGTAACGCGGGCATTCTCGCGTAAAGAACGCGCGTTGGTTCCGCTTCGGACGTGTTAGCGTGCCTACTTTTGGCGATGAACATGCGGCGAATGTGTATGGACGAATGAGTCGCTCGTATAGCGACGAGAGAGAGAGAGAGAGACACGAAGAAAAATGCGACACGGTCACTATTCGCTTCTTCTTCGCGCCAGGGACATTTCCATGTGAAATTTATGCTCAAAGTAAGACTGCCAGGTAATCGAAAACGCTCTACCGCGTCACTTTTTTAGATATATGTGTGAGATAGAACTAAAAGAAGAAAAACACAAACGCAACGCTGTTGTCCGGTATATCGATATTTATGGTTCGCGTTATTTTCCTCCGACCGGTTTTCCGATTCGTTTCGTCAATGCTCGGAGCGTCAGAGGACGTACAGAAGTCGCATAATATTATTGCTAATGTTTTTTCTTTCTATCTATAATCTACCGTCATAGATTATAGACGTTCTTTCTTGCCTCGCTTGACTTTCGTTCTTTCCACAGCGACAAACTTTGTTCTCAGTCAATGATTTCTCTTTTGCTTGAGCGCTATTTAGAAGTTCAGCCGCGACATTAGCGATATGCGTTATTGCGTCTAATAATAAGTGCCTGGTTAGCGTTAGATATATATTATATATATAAAGCGTATTCTCCCTTCAATAATAGTTAATCGACATTCCGGCGAGACAAGACTGCGATTATTCCCGAGCGAAGAACCAAGCGATTCTTGTCGCACGCGCCACTTTCTCGATTTTGCGAGGTTCACTCTTGCGGATTTCGGCCAGTATTGGAGATTTACAACAAAAATTTTCTTTGACTAAAAGAATCGGCAAATCAGTCGTGAAAATGAGTCTATCGTGTTGTGTATGTAATCACGAGTTATTTAATCGATTGACGAAATCAATTATTAATCAGTTAACTCACAAAGGAGAAAGTTGGGTTGTGTTAACGTGAACTTTGATTGTGATGAAACCAACGCGTTGTGGTTGGAGAAAACGGAGTTTCTCTAGTCCTTAGAAACGCAAATTCGGGTCATAAGAACCGTAGAAATTTTGTCTTTCAATCAAAACGCATTGGTTGGTTCATTCAAATCAAATTTTGCGTTAATAGACCGAAGACCGAGATAAGTTGGTAAAATCAATTGTTTCTACAGTTCTTCAACAGATTTCAGAATCAAGCAAGCAAGGATTTCAAAAATATCTTTGACATGATTAAAAATCTTGCTTGCTTCATTTGTAACTTGTTAGAAAATAGTAGAAATAATCGATTTTGCTAACTAGTCCCAGTCTTTCCTACATCTTTCTTCACATCAATCATATAAAAGTTTGACTAATAATTAATTCCCCCAATCGATGAAATTGTTTGTACTGGATACTTGAAAATTTATTTGTGAGATATAAAATTTATTTCTGTGTGAACGCAAACTTTATATCCCACAAATAGATTTTCATGTATTTTTTTCTCAGTGCAAATGTGACGATCAATTAGTTTCTATTACTGATTTGCCGATTATTGCGGTTGAAGACAATTTTAGTCGATTGATGCGCGACACCGATTTTGAGACGTATCAAAATTTCGTTACGTCTTACCACGTGAATTCTAGGAAAGAAACGGAGAAAGGAGGTAGAAAATGGCGCTTGCGCGCAGTTTTCACGCGAGATCACGTCGGCATCTTGTCGATCGAGATTTCTCGAAGAGCTCTTGGTTGCAATTGGAATCAATATAAAGCGACGAATGAACAGGCGAACGGTGTCGATTAATTTTTTGGGGCTTTCCAGTTCTTCCACGCGACCGAGCCGAGAGGGATGTTACATGCGCGTATTCTCGAGTTGGGGTGACGGCTGTATCGGGGTTATCGGAACTGTATGCCGTACATATCTGGTCTGCATCCTGCCGAGCGTAGATAAGAACACGCGCGCTTCCTCTCGCCCGGTGATTCTGCGCTTCCGATACCGGTGGGCGCATCGTGGTAGATAGAAATGCATCTTTTCGACATTTCTATTTCATGCGCCGTCCGATTTTTTATTCGACAGAAAAGGGAGGGAGGGAGAGAGAAGGCCACATTCACAGATACATGTTCTCGCGTCTACTGCAACAGTGATAAGTTGGAAAAGAGAGAGAAAGATATATATATAAATATAAAAGATAATATGTTTATCGTATATATATATATATATATATATATATATATATATATATATATATATGTAGTATATAATTATATAATATCTAGAGAGAGAGAGAGATACATGTGAGAGATATATGTGCGACTAGTATATAGTATATATTTTCCGAATGTGTCAAAAGAAAGACAAACGCGAGCAGAGCGTCAATCATTCCGACAAGGACGGACGATACATCGTTGCCTTCTTCATGCCTTTAGGATTTGTCCTTCTCTCTCATCGACGATATATTTATGTAAGAATAGCTACGAGTATAGAAGAGACGATATACTATCTGCGATATGACGATTATAGAGATTAAGAGACGCGCACATAGCAGCCGTATAGCGTGTTGTCCGATATCGAGCGACTGAAATCGGCGTGCGAATTTCCGCGAGTTTGACTTCGCCTGTTCCCTTGTAGCTGCGCTTCTATCTTGTAGCTTTTTCCGTTTCCCTATCTCTTTCCACCAAGTGTCCTCTGCTCGACCTGACGTCTGGCTCTCCCAGGTCTTTTATTACGGTACTTCGGTTGGGCGCGATGAACTTGACATTACTCAATTTCCTTTTGTCCACTTCATTTGTGAAGTGCAGGCACGCAATTCGATGCAGCTACGAAGGGCAGGGGGCTCATCACTGTGCCTGGCGAATCACGCGAACACGACGCGCATCCAGAGTTCGAGATACTCGCGCGGAAGTTGCGCCGATTTCGACCATCGCGAATTAAGACGATAACGAGAAAATACACGGCCGAGGAAAGATAATCCAGGGCACCGTGCTTACCGGCACGCATAGAAGAATGAGCAATCGCGGCGTCTCGATGTAGACAAATTTACATTATTATTATTATTATTCTAAAATTAACTTCCCATATATCTCTTCTTCGGCTTATCCGCACCGTTCTTTTGCCGTGTCCTTTGACCGCGCGTGACTCGCGAATATATGCGGCCAGGGAAAACACTGCCCTGCTGAGGTTCGAATGTTATATAAATATATATATATATATATATATATAAATAAATATATATATAAATATAAAACACATATATTTTAATATGAGATGTTTTCCCCTGTGAAGAGTAAACAAACGAATAAGTATCAACAAATAAATATCAACGATCATAAGCAATACGCGCGCTGTTTTGAGGTTCTTTGATAACCCAGTTCCTCCTCCTACTTGATAACTTGCGCAAAGTACACACGCGTGTAGTTTTATAGGTCAATGGTAAGATACGTGGGTGAGAAAGGAAAACTTGTTTGACTGAAATCTCCCCACTGTTCGATTGATTAGAGCAATATGACGCACTGAGAGAAAAATGTATGATATTTGGAACTATAATGGTATAGTAAAAAGATTATAGTTAGGAATATAATTTTTATAGTAAATGTTACCATAATATTTGTAATATTTACAATATAAGCATAGTATAACTGACCCGTGTAAAATTTTTACCAAGAATTATAATTATTTGAAATAAAAAATATAGTAAGGTAGCAAATATTGAATGGTAAGAGGAATTAACTATTTTATATAGTCAATACAATTGGAATATTTGGCAAATATAGGTACATGTAACTATATTCCCAAAAGATGCTTTACCATATATATAGAGTAATAAGATGGTGACTATAAATCTGTGTTCATTCTACTAACTTCATGTTTAGATGAACTATAAATATATGTTTGAGGCCAAAACAAACTATAAAATATAGTGAGATTATAGTTATTCCAACTATTTTTTTCTCTCAGTGCACGATGGCTACCAAGAGCGTGGGTCTTCGGATTACGAATGTGTAGTCATCAGAATTGCTAAGAATTTTTCACCGACTAATTCGGAGTCTCTTCTCTCTCGGAGAAAAATTACAGATTTAACACATCTCGATAGTCAATTTTTTCCAACCCAAGTTACCACGGAATGTTTTGAGATATTTCCTCGCTTATAATTATCATATTAAATGTCAATATCTCGTTTATAATTAGTATATCAAATACCAATAACATCAAGTAGTCAATATGTCAAGTAGTGGATATTGGGGCAGGTTACACGAGATTAGAATTATTCAAACAGCTAATTATTGCGATTGACCATGGGAATAAGAGAGAGAAGCTTTCCTTACATCCTTACGTCAGGAAGAATCCCGTGAATCATATATTTGTTAAAAGTTAATATTACTATTCAGTAGCTGCTCAAAAATTGCATTCTACACTGAAATATTATACTTATAATTAGTGGTTCAATTATACGGAGAAGATATTTTTTATAGTTTTTTCTTCATATAAATTTTTTCAATTTCTATATTTTTAATAGTTTCTAATAGAGATAAACTATCAATAATTTGTGTGTGTGTGTGTGAAGGAAAAAATATTTATATATATTCGTGATGGATAGTAATAATATATTTACTTAAATCTCTTTTGTTTAAGTAGAATAAATAACTGTTTTTATGCAAAATAACTTTCTTTTAAGAAATTATATATTTCCTCATTAAAAAATTTTTTTTCTCAATGTAAAAATATGTATATTAGTGCAAGTAAATATGTTATTAGTATGCATCGAAATAAATTTCACATTTTTTAGATATTTTTTCTCTTAGTATAAAGTCTATCTTGCTAAACAACATAGCAAATTTTGTTAGAAATGGTGTCATGGCTTAAGACGCATGGAAGCCGTTAATTTCATCATTCCAGATGCAGAAGGTTCGATTTGCTTCAGCATACAACGAATTTGTCACAGATTTTACAATGAAGTCCTACTTTCATTGATCATATTTAGTGGAAATATAAAACGGAGCACACGCACACATTGACATGAAAGTGTTTCTACTGAAAATTAATGATTATCGGTGAAATATCCCTTTTACCGATTTAATTATAAACATTTTTACTAATTCGCTTAAAAGCGAAAAGTTATCATGATCAACCTGCCTCGCAGTCGGGGCAAGTTGCCGTGGATAGGTTGACGCCCTACACAATCTATGTGCGTGATCGCACACATAGTACCTTATCGTTCTAAACGTTCGTATCGTCGCGAAATATCCGAGCGATAGCTGCGTACGGCAGGAAGGGGGCTCAAATTCGACATGAATGGTGCACCATGCAAAAGAAAGAGAGAAAGAGCGAGCCGGCGATTAACGGCAGTGGCTATTAACGGCAGCGGTGGCGGCAATAACAGTAATCAAGATGCAAATGATAAGGCAGTCGTAAAGATCGCCGAAGATCGTGCACGGGGGATCGTGCTGAAAGCCGCGTGTCCGATTGGCCGACCCTAATATTAGAAGCGACGTGCCGCGCGCGCGACCTTAGCCGGAACGTGAAGCCGCGCGCGGAGAGCACGGCGGCGATCCTCTACGTGCGCGATTCCTACCTCTCTACCTCTAACCCACCTACCTACGCAGTCGCCGATTTCATTACGCGAACGCGTAGGTGCGTATATTGTCGTAACGAGGGATTCCTCCTTCCCCTCCCCCTCCCTCTGCCGTCCGCTCCGAGCGCGTGTGCCCCTCGTGATTAACGAACCGGTGGAACCGCCGGTGCGCGCGTTACGTCGCGTTACTCGTTCGAGGTCCCGGCACAATTGCCACTCGCTCCCCCGTTGACCGTTGTCTGACGGACGTGATATTGCACTTGAGCGCGCATTAGCGCAAGCTGAATTTTCCCGCGCGCTCGGATTCGCTCGTGGCCGCAGAGACGAGTGGCCGAGGAATCCTCGATCAAATCGCTCGCGAAGGAATCGGGACGCTGGACTTCAGTCGCGTGGATTTCAGTTGATTTAATGTAAAAGTACTGTTTAAGTACTTACTTTAAGTAACTACTGTTTAGAGCTCAAGGGACCAGATCGAGACGTGACGCTCTGAACAAGAGCGTACCTTCGGGAATTAATTTTGCGAAATCAATCATGGGATTTTTTATTATTTACAAAAAATATGTAAATAATAAATAAATATGCAGCACGTGGCCGTACTCACAACTGCAAAAAATATTCCTGCAATCGGCAAGAGAAATAAATATATGGTTCTAGTGACTTTGAAAAAACAAAACAGAAACAAAAAACAAATTTTCATAAATAATATGCACGTGCGCGCGCGCGCGTGTGTGTGTGTGTGTGTAGTTGAAGGAAGAATCTAAACTGTGGAACGAAAGTTACAAAAACAATAGCTATTTAAAAATTGAATATCTAAATTTCGCATCTTTTTGTTATTCATAAATTCATTAGTATAAAGCTAACTCTATGTACGTCTGTCTATTTGTACAATTAATTGTATTTGAAAAGTATTAACAGAGAGCCGATAAAATAAGTTAAGAGATACATAAATATGTGTGTGTGTATCTCGAATTATAATTCTTTACTGATTTTTGGTATTTCATAATTGTTTATCTTTGATAATTCAATTTTAGCTTAAACTTCAGATCTGCTTAACTTAAGTTTAAGGGACCAGACAAATGCTTTGAAATAAGCGTACTTTTGGGAATTAATTTTGCGAAAATGAATCAACCGAATGCTTTGAAATATTGTATATTAATTAAGTAAAAGTAATAAAAAAAAGTAATAATAAAGTAATAAAAGTAATAAAAAGTAATAAGCTGAAAACTTTATGGACAGAATACTGACATTTTTTTGCAAAGTTTACATCGTATTGGTTGTACAGGATTACAAATGCTTTTACGTAATGAAAATACGTACAAAAATAAATAGAAGCATTGTTCAATATGTGACGAAAACGAGAAAAAATTTGAATATAATAATATAAAATCTCAAGCTGTTAGTTAACGTAATATTTGTCTAATCCAAAACTTCCGCAACTTGTACGTATCGAAAGTCTGGATGCTCCAAACAAAAAAAATTTGAAGAACATTGCTGTACCTTCGTATCTAAATTTAGAAGCTTAAAAATATCGGAAAAGTTTGCGGAAAGATTTTTACACATGCGTGATTAGATTTTCTGCTGAATATAATAAGACAAAGTAATATATATTTATGTAAATTCTGTTTATATAACAAATACGAAAAGGAAAGCGTGATTGTGTTAGCAACGATCGCCTTTACGTAATCCACATTTTCAGACATTTTCGTCATTCACTTTAGCATCAATTTACAACTTCTTACTATTCCTCAAATTTTATTTCTGTCGGAGTCCTGTATCTTCTTAATGAGATACGGTGGTAATATTAATCCCGGTTATTGATGATCACTATGGTATTTATTCTACGTGTCGATTCATCATATATTTCGCCACTTACATAATGCCGCGGTTAAATTGCCGATCGTCTTTTAGTCAAATTTTTTTGACAGCAGAAAAGATGTGGGATATTTATTACAGGTTTCTCTTTCGCAAGCGCGAGCGTTTGACTCACCTGCACAAGGCACACAAGACGCTCTACGTTATCGGGAATTATCAAAAGCGCGCGTTTGTATGATATTTATTTTAAGAAGCTTCCATAAACATACGAGATGTAAAGTACATCGTCGGTAATATCCACTCGACTCCGCCTAATGAGTTCCCGCGAGACAGCGAATCGCTCGCAAATTACAGATAAACGTCGACAGGGACGAATCGCCGTGCTTCAGGATTCACGGCCGATGATTCCTCGAACGAGGAAAGAGACGTGTGAGCGACCACGAGCGCCCGAAATAATTCAATCGATCGATCGGCTTCCCACAAATCCACCTCTCCGCAACGACTCTCGACAGTCGAGCCGTTAATCAAAGAGATGACTAAATCACACGTGTAAAAATGAGTACAAATTTCATATTTTCGTATGATAATGCAACATTCTCGATGCAGCAAAAAAAACGTTTTTTATAAAAACGCAAAAAAACACATTGTCGTAAGACAATTTCTGATCAAAATACCATTAATTAAAATGGAACGCTTCCTTGAGAGCACTCGCGCTCTTTAAGATTAACAATGTTGGGCATTAATCGACTGAAATTTTCTTTGACTAAAATAATCGAAAAGTTTTATATAAATTATTTATTTATTTCTAATATATATATTAGACTGTGATCCAGAGGTTACAAATTTGGATCATAGATAACAAGAAAGATTCAGATATAGCTAATAATTTCAATAAAATCCGCATTATATAATAAATTAATATCGCAAGAAATAGAAACTATGAATGATTTTATT